TATTGAAAAATATTTCAGGAGTGAGTGCATCAAACAAGTGAAATAATTTTCAACATGAGAAGAGAAATTTTGTATTTCCAAATGGCCATGTAATGTTATATTTAATATATAAACACCAATGAAAATTTAAAAAACGAATACTAAATTTCCTAAATTTTGTAACCATTTATCTTTCATATCTGATTGTGTGTACTTTATCATAAAATAATGTAATGATTTGGAGTTAATTCATGCACAATAGGTCATTTTACAGTTGTGTGCTGAGTTACCTGGCCTATGAATGCAAGCAAGGATGGAGGTGGCCTTGCTTTGATACAGGCCTCTCTGCTTTTCTCATTTTAAATGTCTTGATTAGTTAGCATGAGAACAACATGATTTACACAGCAAGAGCAATGAGGGCTTTATCAAAACAAGGTCACCTCCAGCCTCACTGCCATTCAAAGGTCAGGTCACTGAACAGACAACTGTAAAATGATCTATAGAATTCTCACATTGTATATCTAATTATTATATTGTAATATTAGTTTCTATGAAAGCCTTTGTATTTCTCTTTGTTTTGTAGCACATTATCCTATGAAATGTGAGATGTTTATTTTAATTTTTTGTTTGTTTGTTAAAATTTTATCAGTTAATACGCGGTGAACACATGGGAGCATTAGCCATGAGTGAAACAACGGCAGGGTCTGATGTTGTGGCCATGAAAATTAAGGCCGATAAGAAAGGTATTGATTTTCAACAGTGTTGTGGTTATATCTGTTATATAAGAATTGTGATCGCCTGATGGTTAGCTTAACTACAGTTTGCAAGTTCATGACCTGCTACAAAATAAAATCATAAATTAATAATAATAATAATAAATTAAAATCATTTAATTTTGCAGAGTTGTATTCACAATGTAACCGGGTTGCCTATCAATTTCTCTAGAAGTAAGCCTGTTTTTAGCCCAAGCGTGAATTTTGGTTTGCTCATTGGCTCATAAGTCTCAGAAGATGCTTAATTCAAATCAACTAACATTTTGGTTTCTTGTTTTTGAAAGTATTCTAATGCATCAATAAATGACAAAAAAGTATTGTTTTGAATTACTCTCCCATTTCCCACCCTCTTAGAACTCCCACTTCCTGGCCTTTCTTCTCCTGCCTCTTGTACCCTATTCTCCCAGGCTCCCAGCCCCATTTTCCACCCACCCACACACACTGAATATTACTTGGATAGTTTTTCAATAATATTCGAATTAAGTGAGAATCCAACATTCTCTAACACCAAAGAGGCCAATCATACATTCAGTACTTTCAAGATGTCAAATATCGTGTATGTGTACATCTGCCTGTGTTTATTTTTAGATG